AGAATGGCCACCAAGGTCCCAAGACCTCAACAGTTTAGATTTCTTTTTGTGGGGCTATCTTAACGGCGCTCTCACAGTAAAGCAGAGTTTCTGAGGGGTATCGGGGGGGTGATAGGGAAACGCTAGTAGGACGGCGTTGTGACAAGGCAAGCGCTCTACGTTAGAAAAGGATAGTAATACGCAGAGGTGTGCTGTTCGCGTGCCTGGTTGAATTTGCATATTGCACAGAGTCGGATTTGATTTGGATATACGATCTAGCGTACGACTGTTTCCCTATTTTGGCGCATAGTATACTCAGCCCTTATTACTCTTATTACCGTTATTGTATTGTTGTATTATCGTGTTGTTATTGTTGTGTTGTTATTGTTGAGTGTCTTTATTATCAAGGTATCAAAAATGAACAATAAGAGAAATAAACGTGGCGTCTCGTAGAAGCCGCATTTAAAAACGCACAGGAAAAAAAATCGTTTTCCAGATAGAAAGGTAGGTACCAAAACAATTATGAATTTTAGCATTCATTTTGCCAATAAATTAGACTATACGTAGTTACTATTATAACTATATTTTATATGTTATTTTAGCTTAAAAATGACAGCAAGGTTTCGCATATGCATTCTCTAACAGAGACAGATGGCATGGATCTTCAAATTCAGGTGTGTATACCCTTTTTTTTTAGATTTGCACCAGAGGCTGATATCATTTCTGGCAATTCTGATTAAAAATGCAGTAAGTTTACTTCATGACGTCGATAATAGTATTGTAGAGCAGTTTAACTCAATCATAGCTAAATTCATTGGGGGTAAACGGATTAATTATTTCAAGAAGAGATCCTACCAAGGAAGATGTGCTGCAGCCGTAGTGAGCCACAATACACAGCGACCTGTTTGTGTGATCCAAAAGCGGCTACTCCCTAGTTTCAGTCCAACCTCTTTGATTGCTAAAGTTGAAGAAAGGAGAGCGCACAAAAATCTGAAAAGGAAGCTGAAACCAAGGAAAATTAAAATCAGAGATAGTGATACTAAAGAGAACGCATCCTATGGGGAATTCTGTGAGAAGCCTGACATGAGCAACGAAGATATAGAGGCTGCCAAGGTAGAATTCTTGAAAAAACTTGCAAAAACCGACTCCAAAATTTCCCAGATCGAGCAAGCCACAAAATCTCAGGATTGCAATTTGTGGCGTCTTCGTCGAAGAATGAGGTTGACTGCGTCTCGGTTTGGTGAGGTTTGTAGAAGAAGAGATACAACAAGTTGCAGAGCTCTAGTAAACGCCATAATATACCCAACCGAATTCTTTAGCAATGCATGTGACTATGGAAAAAAGCATGAAAGCGTGGCAAAATCAGAAATAGAGAAATCATATTCGCAATCAGAAGTACAATCTTGCGGGTTGTTTATTGATAGGACCCATCCATGTCTGGCAGCATCGCCAGATGGTTTGATAGGCGTAAAAGGTCTGCTAGAAATTAAATGTCCATGGTCGGCTAGAGAAATGATCCCTGAAGAGGGCAGTCTGAACAAAAAAATTACGTTTTGGATAAACGATGAAATAAATAAAAAACGTAAGTGGTATTACCAAATTCAAGGGCAGCTACACGTTGCACAAAGAGAGTACTGTGTGCTTGGTGTTTGGACCCCGTATGGTTTGAAAATAGACGTCATTCAAAAGGATGACGTTTTCTGGAAAAATGAAATGGAAGAGAAATTGAAATTCTTCTACATGAACTGCTTGCTCCCAGAACTGGTCGATCCCAGGAAAAGCAGAAATATGCCAATCCGCGATCCCGATGTGATCTTGAAGGCACAAGAGAACCGTTTGAACAAGAAAAAGAGTTCTTGAGAATTGTCTATTTTTGCTGTACTCGGGTACCAAAATGGAAGAGATTAGCATATTACATTGTACGCCGTTACTAACCCCTTCGTGTCGGCAAATGCGGTGTGCAGATCTCGCTTTAGCAGCGATGTGCGAGATGTTATGCTAATCTCTTCCATTTTGGTACTAGTACTAGATGTTCACTATTTATTGTATATTATGTATATATTGTTTATTTAAATAAAAGTCAATCGTCAGGCTCAATAGCACGTAGCATCGGCTAGCTTTATCTAGTCTGTTAGATGGCGAATATTGAAATGTCACATTGACACGTTAAGCGCCACAGTAGAATCTGAAAATCCAGTCCACTGGGCCAAACTGTTATTATTGTCAAATTAGCTTGTTTTAAGTTTCGGTTTAATATTTTGACTTGACTTTTTTCTCAAATCCTATGATTTTTCCCCTTTTTTGATTTTTTTTTCTGAGTTACTAGTTGTATGTCGCGTGGCCCACAGACCAGTCGGGTCGCGTGGCACATAAGTCGCGTCGCGTTTTTTGCAAGTCAAGACTTGCATCATGTCGCGCGTTGAGCACTGTTTCGTGTCATTTATTATTGAAGCGTTGTTGGTATTGTACGTCATCTTGTCCAAATTGCTTTACTGTTTATAAATTATTGAATACCAAATTTGTGATGTCGCATTACGAAGCGGAGCAAAAAAGGCTTGAACAATTGTGTAATGAAATACTATCGGATGAAGAGAGTGGCAGTACTGAGTTATGTGGGGATGTATACTTATCTGATGCGTATTCTCCAAGTGGTAGTGAATCAGATAGTAGTTGTAGTAATTCCATATTTATCTGTATTACTGTTTATTTATACCGGTATTTTGTTTATTCCTGCATAAGACTTTGTCAATCTGTTTAGTTTATAAGAGTTCCTCCATATTTCTGTTCGTTAGAATATCGACATTTACCATAACTTACTGATTTGCTGTGAAATTACTTTTTTCATTTTTGAATGAGAATGTCTGATTATTTTATAAGATTTGCTTTTTGTTTTAGATTTGTAGAATATCCTCTTTTTGTAAAACTCTATAAACTTTTAATGTTTTCATTTCCAATTCAGTATAATTTGGTCCCGCAGGCCACGGACTCTTGGTTCCCGTAAGAAAATCACATCAGCATGGCACACGTCTTACGTTACGCGGCCAAATATAACTGCCAGCAGTGAGACATATCATGTGTGTCACGCGGCCCAAAGCGCCAAATGAGGTGCGACACACGCATTATATCTTATGACGCTTATCGTGTTAAGTTTATTTTACGATACTCCATAAGGCTAAAGCTAAACAGCAAGTGACATTTGATTTGTGTTAAATGCGTTCACTATAATTATTATTTTTAACTAAAAAGATTACCGCCTCCAATGACCCTGGAACCACCTGGAAACTTTTGGTCACAAAGTTCTGTATTTTACCACACATGTCAAGTCTTTTCATTTGATATGTAAATTGGGGGTTTTGTACAAAAATATGTAACTCGCAATTTCGAAACGGCGGCAATCTTGGAATCAAATTTTTAGTGAAGTACTGTATTCTACAAGGCGACGACTCTTATTTGAGATATTAGCAAGTATGTTATCCGCCATTTTGTAACGGCCGCCATCTTGATTTGAAACTGTTTTCGTATTACTGTTTTGTACAAGTGCTTCCATTTGATATCCATATTGGGGTGATTGAACAAAAATGATAAAAAGAAATGATCAAAATCGATTAAAAATTTCCCCTCTTTCACTGAAGTCTATTAAAAATGTCACTTACTGGTCCGATGTTTATCTCGAACGACCGACGTCAAAACTGCTACTGTTTAACTTGGGACAACAAATTATCTGAATACGTCCTTTCTTAGTCCGTACACACCGCCGCGTTGCTTCGACTGGCAGCACGAGATAGTGGATAAAATTCGTGTAAAAGCCTATTTGCAGAGGTTTTCGCGCTTCAAAATTGACGCTTCATTTCTGAATATTTTTCAATGAAATTTTCACAGTGCACTAAAAACAAGACTCCACAGGGTGCTATAGAGCCACTTTTTCGTTTTTTCCTCTGGGTTATTTTTAAAAAGATCGAGAAGTCGAACAACAATTATCTGCACTTCCACCCACCATAACTCCTGAAAAAAATTTTTTTTTAGAAAAGTGGCTCTATAGCACCCTGGACAATTGTCTTCTGAAAATACTGTATAAATTTTATTCAAATATATAGAAAAATGGAGCGTCAATTCCGAAGCAGCTAAACCCTTGTAAATGGCCTGAAACTCACTGCGTCGGAGCCGCCTTAAGACACTAGTGTGCACAAGTCCCATTAACACTGTAGAATTAAGAGAAAGAATAGTTGCAGCTTGTGATAGAATAAAAAACACTCCAGTGATATTTCAACGAGTGCGCAATTCCATTAGAAGGAGGGCGGAAGCATGCATACTAAGTGAAGGGTCCATTTTCAACAATTTTTGTAATCATTTCGTTGGTTTTAATGTTATGTTTATGTTGTCAGTTGTTGTTGTTCATTATCTCTAATGTGTTTAATTTTTCCAATTAAATTAATAATAATTTTGCAAGTTAGACAATAGAACGGTTTTTATTTTTGTACTCAAAAATGGCGCATCGAAGGAAAACAATTCAAGAGAGACCATGTGTTTTAAATTGAACGGGGAATTCAAAAATAATTTTTATTTGGCAAAAAACCATTGGCGTACCATTTCTTTCTTGAAAAATATCGAAGTCAATACCCGTACGCACGCCACTGTTAAATCTAATAATTATTTTTGCATTGAAAAATATGCAACTTTATTAACTTCCACTACGTACTAAATATCAGTGAAATATCTGAAGCGGTTCTGAAAATATTAATTAATTTCTATTTTTTTCCTAAAACTTCAACACCCTGAGTTTTTGTAAGGAAACATTTTTGGACCAGTTTATAAAGCAAACTAACTTTAATTTTTCATGTAGATTCACATCCTTAAATATTCGCATATCATTAAGGAACACCCTGTATAAATTCTAATGTTATTTCCAAATGCCAAATTAATAAAACTTATTTATTGGAATACATTCATTTATAAGTATGATGTTTTCGTATCAAAAAAAAAACATTGTAGGTTGAAAGTGTTCATCTTTGATTTATACATACCTCGCCTAGAGCCTCTTTTCCAGACTTTGCAGTCTCCCCCTGTACTTGTAGTCGCGTTTTCACCAAATCTAGTGGATAGGTCACTGTAAAATGTTAAAAGTAATAATTAGCTTGTGTTTTCAACTATTTTTCTAAAACGATATTTTTACATATTTAAGAGAACATGCTCTATCTCCTATTCCTATTTACCTATTTCCGAGTTGAATCCAGACACTGACGCTACGATCCAGACGTAAAACAGGTCCTGCTCTTTGCGCTCAGGCAGGGCAGACATGATGTCATTGGACCTCCTGCAAATGGTATGAACTGGTATAAATGCATAATGTTATTCTATAATCAGGCTAATTGTCATGTACTATAGAAAAGTAGGTCAAATGTCAAAAACTGTAGTGCGTCTGGTATGAACGTTTTCCAGTGCAATGATTAGGATGTTTGCCCCATACAAGGGGCCGTCAATATGCGCTTGAATATCCAAGGCTTTGTTTAGAAGCGCGACAGATTAAAGCTTCGACATTTTTAATAGTCAACCGTGTAGTTCTAAATTTGGAAATCTAAACGTTTGCAGTCGCCCTAAGTATAGTCACAATATTTATTCTGGCAAAATGTTAATCTTTCTTATAAATCAATGATGCAAACAGCCAGTATCTTTTCAATGTCCCAATCAGCTGAGTAGTGTACGAAGTTCAATATTAACGGCTACAACAAAATAAAACGCAATTTCCATCCAAAGTCCTCAATTGACGTAATGCTCTTATGAACACCTATACCTACAGTGGACTTAAATCCCAAAAGAAGCAACGATCCGTGACTTATGGATTCGTGCCATTAGCCAGCCATCCGTAGATGCCTGGGCTGGCAGCGACAAGTGAGTAGAAATCGCGATCGAATACTGATGTTTATTCTGACGTGGAGTAAATCAGATTTGAATAGACTTTACGAAATAACAGTATAAAAAATCGCTCTGATAAAAACGGGTAATGTTAATAACAAATTATGAAATTAAATAAAAACACGTCTGATTAAATCGAACATGGAAATTAATTACACCTGTATTGATTAATATGAAGAGCTTAATAAATAATTTTCGCTCACTGATTCATAATGAGTAAATTCAACTTTTACTTCCTCGCCCAGTGGCGAAATTTCGTTGATCTCGGTATATTTATAGGTTCCAAACCCAGGTAATTCTATGCACCTATTAGCCATATTTCACAAAGCATAGATTTCCCGGTACACTTGCTTTGAAAACGGAGAAATGTTTCCGATTCTCGCACTACTGCTATCTAAGCTCACCGTCCGGCGAACCAGCCCCAGACTGGATTTATGGTGAAAAGTTGAATGGAAACCATTTTTCCGGTCTAGCCGTAATTTCTAGCACTGTATCGACATCGAATTTGGAATCTACACGCCCGATTTACCCAGGAAACACGCTTCCATCTCGATCATAGACGCGCAACAGTTTTTAGTTATTTTTTATTAGTCGTTTTTTGACAAAGTTGAATTCTTGCCAGTATCTCGAAAACCAGGCATTTTCGGACTGACATGCTGCGTTAACGTTCCCGACTGACCGATTTTGTGCCTTTTTGTGTCATCGGACTGGATTTAGGGTGAAAAGTTGTATGGAAACCATTTTTCCCGGCTAGCCGTAATTTCTAGCGCTGTATCTACATCGAATTTGGAATCTACGCGCCCGATTCACCCAGGAAACAAGTTTCCATCTCGATCATAGACGCACATATGTTGAAATGCTTTAAATGCGGTTCAAATTACCTTTATTCCATGTATTTTGTGCTGCCAATACCGAATCCGAAGTCGTTGTACGTGTATCTGATCCCGTTTATCATTTAGTTTGAAGCGATCTGATGAGGGACATGAGGTATTTTTCCCCATATCGGGCTCCGATTTTTCCATATATGTAATGGGTATGTTGTATGTTAATTCCGGATGTCATCATCTATATCTACAGGGTGTCCAAGGTAAGGACAATATGCTTGGGGTTCTCAATTCCTGCGGGAGATACAGCTTAGGCTAAATTAGGAGAAAAACTCGCGTTTTTTTGGGGTGTATATACATGCTGTTCAGAAACTTGTAAAAATGTCACGGCTTACTGAGACATTTGGGAAAAACTAAAATTTGACCAAATCATTTTTATTTTTTCCTGACTTTATTTTAAGGAATATCAAAAAACTGATGAAACTTTTCCATTGGCACTTTTCAGGCACTACATGATGGTGTATTTAAATTTTGTAGCCAGTGGTTCGTTTTTGAGAAACCATTATAAACTTTTTTTTTATTTGGTTAAAAAAAAAGAACACCCTTTATCTGATGACATCTTTTTCTGTGAATTCAACCATGAATTACATGTTACATTTGTTTTCTTAGTAATAAAATTGTTTTATCATTTTTTTATTTTATTTAAGTAGACCTTGGAAACAAAAGCTTGATGTAAGACTATGTGATTACTGATAGACATATTACAGTCTAGTCACACAGAAGTTTGAATGATCCGAAGGGTGAGACCAAATTATGTTACTGAGGCTGTTATTGGTAACTTTTAGCAAAAAGTTAAATGTGACACGAACTTTTGGTTTTAACGGATTTTAAAAAAAGGGTCAACGGTAAACATCAAAATAATAATGTAGAAGTGGGAGTAAAAATGTATTATAGACAACAAGATTGGAGTCTATACATACGGACTGTTTTTAAATAATTTGGATCTACCCACACGTGCACTGATAAGACTCCAAACGGGAAGATCCAGCCACAAGATAGATATAAGTCCATATGATGGTTTAGACGGCTCCTCTGCGCCACCCCGTATAACGAATTCTGCCAACTTGTTGGAGGTGTGTGTCGATCAACGCCCCCTCATTACGCGGCCGCTTAATTTTTAGAATATGGACGTAAAATACGTTAAAATATAATACTTTTATGTTATATAATTTGTATTTTTAGCTATAGGCACCTATATTCTGGAACGTTGTAGACAATTATCTTTATTTATAACAATACGCAATTAATTATTCTAATGTACAAAATGTTAGCTCATGAATGTATAGGTACCTACTAACTGTATTTGGATATAGAAAATAATGGTAAAATAATATATGAAGTCCTCCTAAATAAAAAACGATAAGCCCCATGCATATAGGTACTCATATAGGGATAATAGCTGGATAATAGGTATCAAAAAGGTTAATCACATCAAAATAATAAGTCATTCATATAAAAATGAAAACAAAATACTGAAGCTAAAACAAATCATGACAACACTGTATGACCAACAGCCTCGACAAGGATGTTTGAAAAATACATCCAAAGGACAAAACAAAAAGTTACAAAACTAATGCAGTTATCTTACCATTGAACTTAGCAGCCTATCACCTGCCAACAAAGTAAAGTTTACTTAGTACACTCGAAAAATCAATTCACACAAGTGAACCACGAACTTCGGCCGGAGAATTTAGATCGTCTGCTTCCATCATATACAGTGTTTTGGATTTTATACCTATCTATTGATTAAGTTTACTGACCTATACCACCAAATCTCGCCAGAAAACAACAGCACGCGCTCAAAGATTCATCGACCACCACGATTACTGCATAAAGTTACATTTAGTGGCTAATATAAACTATTCAATTTAACAAGGACGCTTTTGTTAAAAATAAAATATTGCAGGATGATCGGGAATGAATTATTAAGCTTCCCTGAATTAATAAGGTGGGCGGCAACATCGCATCTCCAAGGTTCAAATGGACCTCAATTTGAAGAAAATGATGTATAGACATAAACCATCTTTGTATAAATTATCCAGTTGATTATGCCTAGTCAGCTAAATATAATAAGCGACTGCTCTGATATGTGTTTGGCCGAAAACATAAAAATACGGATTGGTTTGACCATTTATGAAAAGCGACATCTACCAACGATTACCATTGTTCTGCTACAGCCAAGGGAGTTATCTATTCTGGCAGCCATGTTAATCTAGTTTTTCGTAATTCAATGATTACTCAACAGTTAAAATTAGAAAAAATACGATTTTTTCACAATAGCAAATTCTGGAGTGATATTAAAATAATAATAATAAAACTAAATAGAGCATAACTAAATTCAATAATTCATAATTTTACAGATTTATGGTAAACTACAACAAATATTCTGTGTCACTGTGCTTCAGTCACTGTCCCAAAGAGGTCGCAATTCGATAGAAATTTTAATTCCTGAATATGTTTATATTTTGGATTTGAATTCTCTTTAATGATAGATTTATTTCCATAGAGATTGGTGGTACAGAAAACAATGTTATGCAAAATGATTGATCAAGTAGAGCTTTCCCTTTTCAAAAATAGTCTGAGGAATGCCTGTCACTTATGTCATGTTCCATCACTGTTCCATGTCCATGGTCATGTTGAGCCCCTTGAGAGAATAGGATAGACAAACGACAAACATTCCATAACATTCCGCCATATTACTTTTGTAGTGCGAGTGTCAAAAATTGGTTTTATTCTTTATTGTTGAATAGTGCGTGATAGTTCTTAAATATTGGGTGCTACCAAAAGAATATTAATAGGAGAAACTCCAGTGATGAAAATTACCTGGCTAGCACTACTATGATTATTTCTTATATAAATATAATTGCAAGGGGATTAAGTTCACTACTAAATATTCTTTTGTTTTGCTAACCAATTTTTGTGATAAAAATATTGTTGGTGATCGTGTTATTAACCTTTGTGATAGAAACTGTTGAGCATAAAAAATGGAGGCGATAGCTAAGCACGAATTCAACGCAACAGCTGACGACGAGCTCAGCTTTAGAAAAGGACAAGTTTTAAAAGTAAGTCAAGATCCATGGCAATCCGTGCAACAACCACCTTGACTTTATTTATATTTTCTTTTAGATCTTGAACATGGAAGACGATATGAACTGGTATAGAGCCGAATTGGATGGTAGAGAGGGATTGATTCCTAGTAATTATATTGAAATGAAGCCCCATGAGTAAGAATACTGTTTTAAACACTTGAAAGTTTCTCACTTTGCAGATATGAGCTAGATTTGTTTTTTATAATCTTCATATATTTTTAAATATACACTTCTATAGAAAATATAGGTAAACATTTCGCATTTGGATATCCTAAAAAGGGTGAAACCTTATACATTTGGGAGCAATGTCAATTGAAATTGATTTCAAAAACCACTCGAGGCCTTTTTTTCAAACATGTTTTTGTTTTACTAAAAATGCTTCTTTAAATGTAGGTGCATATTCTGGGATATATCTTGTAGGTCACTACATCCCTTCCTGTTTAACTAATACCACATAATGCATGGTCAGTGCAAAAAGAATGTAAGTGTACATTGACTTGCATTGTTTTTACATGCACTACTCGCCAGCAGGTACTTGAATGAGTCATTTCAAAAACAGTGCTGGTATCCTAGATTTGTTTTGTTTTCATATTTGGGTGCTATCCTATATGCACTGGAATACCAATTTCAAATCCACTACCTACAAAAATAAGGTTGCAGACATTTTCCTCCTCATTTGTATGACTGAAAAAGTTCATTAAATATACACTAAATATTATAAATAGCTGTGCATATAGATAGTATAAAGATGGAATCACACACACGACACCTTTCTTGGAATGTGATCTTTTTATACATATTGATGAAAGTTGAACAAATAAGTCTAGTTGATTCATGTTTAGATTTAGATGTAAAAAAGAAATTTGATTTCCAATTTTCTCGGGTTTCCCCTATGCATTTTAAAAATGTTAAAACATGAGTTCATGCTTGTTAGTGAATTTTTAACTGTAATTTTCAAAAATGAGTAATGTGTAAGTAATGTGATTCTTTTGCATAAGTTATATACCACTAACCATATTTCGTGGTAAAACAATGTAAGTCCTTAACAGTTTTTTGGGCTTTTCCCATTATTATCATTAATAAGCTTTGAATGGTATTCCAAATTTTACTCTTCTACCCAAATACTATGTTAAGTCCAAAAAGGTACTTAAAAACTGGGATTTCCTCCTGGAAAATTAGAGCTTTTTACATTGACTGATTCAATTGAGTGATATTCTTAGTTAAGGCAGGGTTTACTAGATATTCTATTTCAATACTGAACCAGTTCGTGTAATCTCCTGCATAGGGCCCTAGCTGATAGCTAGTTGCTAATCACTCTTTTTTGAAGTGATTTTCTTAACTTGTGTAAATGGAAGTTCTTCAGAAAACCTGTAAGTTGTCACCTATCTAATTAGCTTATAGGTTGATTAGTATCAAAGAAGAACTTTCTGTTCTTCATTACTCTGTGAACCCTATCTTGGAAAAACTGAAATAAGTGGCATCATTGCCATGCAAAATGCTGTAATCACTGCCATGGTGGGCTGTACACTATATTATGTTTCTATTTACACACTCATGTGTCATAAGGAGTGCGAATGGCAATTTTGCTGAAGATTGGAAAAGGGTTGCATTAAGAACCTGCTTGAGGGCCGGTTTATCAATGCATGGTTAAATAAATCAACTAGTAGTTAAAAATAATCTGACGGTCAAAATGTTTATCCACCGGCAGTTAAATATTAACCAACAGTTAAACCCGTGTGAAACCTGACCGCAACTTGGATGTTCCAGTTACGAGCGATAACTAGCAGTTAGGATCTGAAGCATGCGCAGATTGCAGACTTCTTCTTGTTTTGATATGTCATTCTTGTCATTTTAACCTCAAAAAGTCTGTGTCAAAACGTAAGCAAAAACAAGGTTTTTGTAAAGAATTATTGTTTGAAAATCAAGTGAAAACTTTGAAATATGTTGGGTGATATTGATGCTATGTTCGATGATGATGATGATGCGGAAATAGTAGAGTTTTTAGAATATGAAAGGAGGCCCTATATTGTACGAGAAAGAGAAGACTTCTTCCATTCATTGGACGACATAGATTTTTTTGTGAGGTTCCGCTTGAAAAAAATTACGGTTTTATATATTTTATCTCTCATCGAGGAAGAACTCGAATCTGTTACCGACAGGTAGGTTATTTCACGTTTTTAGAACGCTGCTGATGTTAATACCTATAGGTACTTTTTATTTTCTGCGAATATTTTTTCTGTAATATTTAAACAATATGGAAATAGATATGTGGATTTCATTGAATTTTATTTAACTTATCATGAACAATTCTATGACAAATGACTCCCTGTGGTAACTATTAATTGTATATTTATTTCAGAAATCATTCTATTTCACCCATCAATCAGTTATTACTGACTCTACGCTTCTATGCTACAGGAAACTTCCTACTAACTGTTGGTGATTTCATCAAAGTTAGTAAGAGCTCTGCCTCAAAAATAGTGAAGAAGGTGTCTGAGGCAATAGCTACCTTCTCAGGTAGATTTATAAAAATGCCAAGTAATGATGAGGAAATAAGGAAAGCCAAAAGTAGCTTTTATGAGAAAGCACATGTGCCTAGAGTGATTGGATCCCTTGACTGCACACACATAAAAATTCAGTCACCTGGTATGGTATCTATTTGTATCTATAGAACTTGTACTTATAAAACTTTACCCTTACAGGAGGAAATAATGCAGAACTATTTCGCAATCGAAAAGGCTATTTCTCCATCAATGTACAAACCATTTCAGCCCCCAATCTAAAAATATTAGACATTACTGCACGCTGGCCTGGAAGTCAACATGACCAGATAATTTTTGATAATTCATCAATAAAAAGTAGATTGGAAAGAAATGAATTTGGCAATAGCCTTTTAGTAGCAGACAGTGGTTATGCAAATTCAATGCATGTAATAACACCACTTTTGGAAGCAAGAACACAAGTCCAACAACTTTATAATGAAGCTGGTATGTTTCTATCTCTTATAATCATTACATTATATGGAGCTGTTTTTTATTTTACTCATAAAATAATTTAATTCACTAAAAGCATGAACCATATTTTTTCATTGTACAGATACTACACTGCATTATTTTTTCTATACAAGGAGAATTAAAGTTAATGAGTTTGTTTTTCATTTATTTTTTCAGTTACAAGAACCAGAAATCCTGTGGAAAGGCAATACGGTTTGTGGAAACGACGATTTCCAGTTCTCTCAACAGGGTTGAGACTAAAATTACAGACAACCCTTACAGTGATCGTTGCCACAGCTGTGCTGCATAATATAGCAATTGACCAAAATGAAGAGCAGCCCCCTGATATTCCAAACTTGGATGAAAACATAATCAATTATGAAGAAGATATCAGTGTTGATCCTCCTGAAAATAACTTCATGAATGCCAGGGAACTGTTATTAAGTGAATATTTTCCAGGGCTTTTAAATTAATTCTTTACTTGTACTATTTATGAATTAAATACAAATAAAAAATAGCAATCTTTAATTTCAAAATTATGTGTTATATTTATATATATTACACATATTTTATAATTTATCATTTGTTCTAATCTGCAGTTCCATTTTCAAAATGTCTTGCTTCAGTTTCAGGTTTTCCATTTTTATTTTATGCTCTGCAGCATTTTGCTTTTTTATTTCTTCTGCAATCGACATTTGCAAATTCACCAGCTCTAACTTCTTCATAGCCAGTTCTTCAAATTTCGAAGAAGCAGAAGACATGCTTTTCTTTTTCTTAATTACTGGTCTTCGCCGACATGACCATGGCTCTAAAATAAAATTTTTGTATAGTAACATAAATATGAGATATCTATATACCTATATTTATAAGAAATATTTCACAGATACTTTTAGAGCTGGGAGTCTCTGCTACACTGATACTGTCAGTACATCACGTGAACTCGTGGTGTGTGGTCGCTCTTGGCGTGTGTGTGAATTTATTCCAGAGTTGAATGTTAAAAAATTAGGAAAAGTATCTACATACGGTTGGTTAACAGTTATAAATCGTATGTGATAAGTAGCTGCATTTTTTTCTGATTTTTTGAGTGATTTCTCGACACGGTCGCTGCAGGAATGCTGCAGGAATTTGCTAGCTGTACAGCTGGAATGTGGAAACGTTGCCGCTCTTCCTAGAATATCCTCAACGATATGAGTAGCGCGGGTGGTGAATCGAAAAGGACGACTTCGCGTTCAGTGAATTCGGCTTGTGAGTGCGCCAGTTTTGCTCAAATTCTTTCCGATGTTAAGAAGAAGCTAGATCAGTGCTACAAGATCATCAATGGTCAGAACGCAAAAATTGAGGAGCTCTCAGTAACTGTATTGGAACTCAGCAAGAAACTGGACGACAGAGATGGGATTGCAAAAGCATCTTGTCCGGTAAATGCAACTGTATCTTACAGTGACATAGTGAAAGCTGCTCCACCAAAAGAGCATGTACTATTGGTGAAACCTGCAAACGATGCGGAGGGTGATTCACTGAAACAGAAGCTTCTTACTAAAATAAATCCTGAATATCTACAGGTTGGTTTGCAGATCCATAAGGTAGGCAGTAACGGTGATATTGTTTTAAAATGTGACAATCAGAAATCATTGGAAAAAGTGAAAGCATCAATAGAATCCCAGATGGCTGGCAATTGTTCTGTTATGTTACCCAAAATGCGGAATCCACGTATAAAAGTTACAGGTGCTAGCAGTGAATTGTTCGAAACTGATAACAATGTCCTAAAAAGTAAAATTATCAATCAGAATAGTGGTTTGTTAAGCCATCAAGGACATACCTTCAATATTGTTTTTAAGTATCCTATAAAAAATGGAAAGTTTGATTTTATTGCAGATGTAGATCCGTTGTCTTATCATTCGATTATTAAAGAGGGTAAATTAAATATTGGGTGGAACAGGTGTCATGCGTATGAGCATATATCAGTAGTTCGTTGCTATAAGTGCTGTGAATATGGGCATATTCAAACAAGTTGTAGAAATCAAACAGTCTGTCCTCTTTGCTCTGGTAGCCATGATATGAAGCATTGCAAAAACAATTCACGACGTTGCATTAATTGTGCAAATGCCAGTAATAAACAGAATAAAAGCCTTGATATGTATCATG